AACACTTGTTTCTGAAGATTGTATCCAAGATAAACAATAAAAGACTTTATTTCTAAGTAGAGTTGTAATATGTCCTAGAAAATTATTAGAGATTGTATATTTTGATGTATATAGATTAATGTGGAAGCTATTAATTAGAAGAATAAGCTATTTTGTCATATTTATTGATGATTTTCAAAAAAGGTGTAAATTTACATCCTTAGAGCTAAGAATGATTATTTCTTAAGATTTAAAGATTTTAAGGCACTTATAGAGAAGCAATGTGAATGTAAGATTAAAATGTTGTATATAGATAATGAGAGTATATATATATATAAAAATATTTTAATGGTTGTTTGAAGATTCAAGATATTACAAGACAAACGTCTATTCTTTATATTCCACAACAAAATGGAATTGCTAAAAGAACAAATCTTACCATTGTAGAGATAGCAAGGATTATACTTCATGCACATTACCTTGGATATGAATATTAAATAGAAGTTATGGTTACAATAGTGTTTTATTGTTTTATAGAAGTGACTATTTTATTAGTGTTTTTGGTTGTAAAATAAATGCCAAAAAAATGTTCATTCTCTTACTATTGATAAGTTATGGAGAAGTCATGATCCTCTAATAATCTGAAATTGTAGAAGCATTAGGTTATTTAACATATCAAGTCATTATTTCATTTCAGAATTCATATCTTTTAAAATGTTTCATGATAAAATATTTTTTGGTATTCTAAACTTTTATTGCTACAAATTATTTGTCTTCATATGTTATTAAATAAAGTATTACAAGTATTATTTTATGATTCCATTTGCCTTCTTAATGTTATGGATATATGTTGAGGAATAGTGCAAAACATAGATGAATTCTACTTATAATAAATATACATTTTTGTAAGACTTACATTTGCTACATCATTTGATACGTTGTGTGTTAATTTATGTTTACATATGCAAATAAATAACATCACTATTTTTTAAAATTAGGAATAAAAATAAACAAGTAAAAACTAATCATATTAATCTAGAATAATATAATTAGTATGTTGTTAACCATATCTATGCATAGTCTTCTAACTATGAATTGGTTGTGATATATTTAATTAATTTATGTTTTTTCACAAAAAGAAAAATCACATTATATCGGTATTATTACATATATAAAGAATATTTATTTTTGAATAAAAGAATAACAATAATAATACCATCATCATTATTATGTAATTATTTTACTGATATTTTATAATGTTCAACCAATTATGTCTTCAACAGCATAGTTCATCCCACACCACTCAAATTTCACAATTTGATAACATTACTTATTTCTTTTATTTCAACACACACATCTCAAATCAAACTCCAAATAAAAAAAGAAGAAATAAACAAACACAGAATTTATCATCCAAAACAAAGACAACATACAAGTCATAATTTGTAATCCAAAGCATTTCAGATGTTGTGTTCACTTCAAGTATATATAACAACACAACTTTTAAAAGCAAAGAGGTGAATCTCAAAATAAACGTTAAAATAAGAAAAAAAGATTAAAAAAATCCAATAAATCCAAAAATTATGGTAATGGAGAGTTACGCCCACCACCAAGGATTGCCACGTAAAGGATGAATAACAACACACATCCTTGGATATCCCATCCAACAGATAGGATATTCCATACACAAATAGAATATTCTGTCCATTATTGGGACGTTTCATCCAGAATATGGATGGTATATCATTCCCGAAGGAGCAATCGAAAGAACGTTCCAAGGTATCGAAGTGGGTGAGGGGACGATGCCTCCTCCTCGTCCAACTTTCCAGGCATATAATTAGGGTTTGCTTGCTCGGAGAAATGTGAATACAGATTGCACTTATTGCAATGGAATTCGTGCACCTCTGACGCCCATGCATTCGATCTCGAGAACCGCTACGCTTCGAACAAGCTGCCGAACCGGTCGCAAGATGAGCCGGAGTGAATTTCGTTCTCGACAGATTTTTGTAAGATGTAGCAGAAATGGCGTCATGGTAGCCTATATCTGTCTGAGCGAGTGCGACGTAATTGATCTTCAACTCCAGGAAGTCTAACTTCTAGTGTGGAGGCTCCGACGTAGGACCCTGGGAAGTAGACTGCAATTTTTCTTTTGAGGAAATCTAGTGACTTGATATGTATATATATAGATATAGACAAGTGGGTTTATTTTAAAAATATTTAAGAGTTTTAATGTCTTAAAATTAAAAAGCAACATTAGTAGACTATTTTTTTGAATAATTTCTTGAATTTTTTTTTAGATTTTACTGATTTTTTGGAATTAGATTTATAAAGATAAAATTTCTTAGAAGTATTATCAAATAATGTATATATAATATAACTTTAAAGAAAAAACTTAGTTTGTAAGGATGTAAAATTTTGATTATATTACCAATTTATTGAAAACATTTCAATCTTTGATTGAATTTATTATGAGAGATTACTTAAATATGAAATCATTTCCAAAATTAATTAAACTATGTTACATATTTGGATTTTTTTAATATATGTATATATATAAACACATACAGGTATGAAATTATTGTAAAAAATAATGGACAAACTTATATTTTAACTAAAACAAATACATATTTGCTTTGCTTTGCTTTGCATTCAAATCATTGACAAATAAAGTGTGCAATCTTACATCTTTAATTCAACTTGAAATAATTGATTGCTTAAGCTTAACATTGTTGCTAAATAAATAAGGCAACCTTACATCTTAGTCTAAAGTTGTAATACGTACTTGTGTAAGCTGCCATTATAATTGAATTCATTAAGCAACAACATATTTATTTTTGAAATCAAAGCAGGTTAAGTTGGCTTCATTGAAAGATTCAACTTCTTTTAAAGTATGTTTTAGAAAAAAAGTAATAAATTTTTTAGATAAAAATCAAGTTTATAAGAGATTTGAGTAAGTAATTTAATTAACACAAAATTCATAGATAATATGTGATGGCTTTAAAAAATTGTTACAAGCTTTTTTACCTTCTTGTTTGGTACCAATATAATTGTAATGTCTATTTAAAAACATACCATGTAAAATTTCTTGCAAAAAAATATTTTTAAAAATTGTTATAAAAAAATATTCTCTTAGTCAACTTTTCTTTTTAAAAACTTTGAGCTATTTCTTACTATGATAAAAATAATTATGGAAGAGAATATATATATATATATATACATACATATATATATATACATACATAAAATATATATGTAAAAAAATTCAATACATTTACCATTAAATATCATTGTGGATTTACAAAATCTATATATTAAAAATAAGTTGTTAGTTTTAAAACATGTTTTGTTTGTCTATAACAACAACAATTCTTAACTTTTGGATAAATTAGACAAATTTTACAACTTGTGGGTTATAAATCTGAAACTCTTGTGAATAACAATACTTCAATGTATTCAAGTTAAGATGGCTTCATAAAATATGTATCAATTATATATTTAGCTATTCATAGAGATACCAAATTATAACAATAATAATTAACTTAATGTAAATTCTATCACATAGATTGCTATAATTGGGATAAGTAAATTTAGAATAACCAAGTGCCATATCATTTTCAAATGTATTTAGAACACAAATTGTTTAAGAAAAAATGTATAGATTTATTTTTAGACTTAAAGTACTATATCTCATTTATATTTTTCACTATTGTCTAGGTGGTAGGATAATTATTGTGATTATTATAATTTTTATTAGTTTTTATTTTCATGTCAATGCATAGTAATATAAATTTTTAAATAATATCATAGGATATTTGGTATTAAATTAGATAAAAAATTTTAAAAAATTATGTTTAGTGCATCTATAATAAGTGTTATAATATCTAAATAGTTATTATTAGAACATTTGATGTATTTAATCACAAATTTTTTAACAATTTTAACAATTTCAATTGAAAAATAATGGTTGTTAAATGTTTTGTTGTTAAGTGTAGATCACATATAATTATTTTTTTTTTGTTTGAACTTTGTGTCATGCTGGTTTTGTTACCTTGATTTTATAGTACTGTAATTTAAATAAGTTTATATAATGTTTTAATATGTATGTATATATATATATATATATATATATATATATATATATATATTTTTTTTTTTTTCTTATTGCTCACATAACTAATGTATTATTTTAATACAATATTTCTTTCTCATGCAGTTTTTAAAATTCAGCAAATATAAGTCAGTTAGAGCTCCTTCAACAACTTAAGCAAAATAGATGATTGTTATAGAAGCAACTAAAGATGCAACATGGTGAGAGGACTTGCCAATGAGCTTGGTTAGCTTATTGCATTGACATTATGCAGTGATGTATTTATTTCTTTGTGTATATTTAGGCTTTACAATATACAATGATATATTTTACATCACATAATGGTTTGAAAACAATTATACAATTAAAAAAATTATGTATTTCAATTTTATACCTTTTACAATATATTCAACTGATCTTGTCTTTAACAACATAGTTCACCCCACAACTTTCGAATTTCACAATTTGAATCTCACAAGTAAATGTCAAAATAAGGAAAAAAGGCAAAAAAAATTCCAAAAATTATGGTAATGGATGCCTATGTCCACTACCAAGGATTGCCAATCAAGGATGAAAACAACACACATCCTTGGATATTATATCCACCACATGGATGAAACATCCGTTTCTCGAGGAGCTTCCGAAGGAATATGCCGAAGACTTCTGCGGAAGGATCAGGGCGAGAGGGTGCCTCTTCGTCGAACTTTCCAGGAAATTAGTTCGGGTTTACTTGCCTGGATGGAATATTTAAGCAGATTGCGCTCGTTGCGATGGAATTCGTGCTCCTGTGATGCTCATTCATTCGAATTCAGGAACTGCTCGCTGTGCTGCGAACCAGCTCCTGAACTGGTCGCAAGACGAGCTGTGTCTCGAGATGTATTTCGTTTGCGGCCAATTTTTTGTAAGCTGGTGCAGAAATGGCGACATGGTACCGTGTATATCTGTCTGTCTGTGAGCTAACGCGACGTAAATTATCATAAATTCTAGACAGTCTTAATTCTAATGTAGAGGCTCCGACGTGGGACCCTATTGAGTAGAATGCACGTTTGCTGTGGTGGGAATGCAGTGAAGGTGCAATTGTTTGTGTTGTGCGCGTCACACAAGACATTGTCCACATCGGGTGCTCCTTTTTGATGAGAGAATGGGTAGGTGTAGATAGGTCTAGTGAGGTTGAGGTGAGCTCTGGAGTTGGGTTGTTTAGAGAGTGGAATTGGGTTTGTCTTCGAGTTGAGTGGGGAATTTGAATTTTGTAGGAATTACACGAAGAGTGTTGTAGTTTGTAGGAGCAAGAGAAGCTGTGTTCAGTATTTGCTGAATGCAGATTGCGTGACTTGGTCGGACATGGTACAGTTGTTAATAGAGTTTTTTTCCATTTTCAGGTTAGGATCGTAGAGATGAAGCAATTGATGATTTGTTAAGTTGAAGCTTCCATATTGATGAGAGTTGATTCTATTGTGAGAGAGGATTGTGTATAGCTTTAATTGGGACAGGGGTAATTGCAGGTGAAATAAATATTTTGAAGGTCGAAAAGAGAGATTTCTCAGCACCATGGCTCTCCTCAAGCTACAAATTCGAACTTTCTGTGAGTTCTCTCACTCTTATTTTTTTTATTTTTTATTTTTATTTTTTGTAGCTAGTGTGAAATTTATTGCATTCAGTTTGTGGATGAGGTTGTATATAGCGTCTGAGGCGGTGGTACTGAATAATCATGCAAGGTTATATCCTGGTGATTCTCCTGTGGATATCCGCGCCTCAATTATCACATGCGGTTCGGCGGTATCCTTACTTTCGAGATCAGGAGGAGAACCCTGGCCGGCAGCCCTTGCAAATGCAGCGTCCCTTCAACATTGCGCATCGAGGTTCCAACGGCGAAATCCCAGAGGAAACTGCTGAGGCATACATGGTCTCTTTCCTCAGACTCTGCAGTGTCTATTTAAGCTCCCTCCGGAATATGACAAATTCGACCCATTTTCTTGCGATTGATTGGACATGCAGACCAGTTCTTTTAGACATTAAAGGTATATGGTTTGGAATCAATGTTGCTTCTCTGAAGTGAGTTGTTACTGCAGAGAGCCATTGCAGAGGGAGCTGATTTCATTGAGTCCGATATCACAGCCACCAAGGACGGAGAGCTTATATGTTTTCATGATTTGATATTGGACGATGTAACCGATGTTGCCAATCACACTGAGTTTAAGGATCGTATTCGAACCTACGAGGCTGAAGGAGTAAATACTACCGGATATTTTGCAGGTTATTATTTGTTGTGCTTTTGTGCGGAAAATAGTAGGGATTCTCGTTAAATTGACTGTCCTAAAAGCGGTGTACATGAATCAAAGATCAGTATCTGTCATTTGAAATATTTTAATTTAATTAATCAATTAACATGTTTTGCAGTGGACTTTACTCTGGCGGAAATCAAGACATTACGAGCTCGCCAACGCTTTCCATTTCGCGACCAATCCTATAATGGTAGGACATCGTTCTGCAGCCTCTTCCCTCACTTAGCCGATAACTTGCTCATCGTATACATACACACACACACACACATATATATATATATATATATATACATGTGTGTGTGTGTCTTATTTTTATTTTGTTTCATTGGTGGTCAGTGCTTATGTGTAGAACCGTCGAACATGTAACAGATTCTTTCCTCTACAGGTAAATATCAGATCATCACATTCGAGGAGTTCATCAAAATCGCATTGAATGCAGAGCGAATCGTTGGCATCTACCCAGAAATCAAGAGCCCTGTTTTTGTGAACAAACATGTAAACTACTGTCCTTCAGTATGTGTGTGCTGCTACATGTACTTGCGACGTTCTTTGCTCAAAAGAGATCATCTGTAGAGTTGGTAGCATTGACATTCCTGAATCTGGCTTACATGACCATGTTACAATTTGCGACTTTAGGTGAAGTGGCCTGGTGGTAAGACACACGAGGATATATTCGTGGAGACACTTTTGAAGTTTAATTACACTGGGAAATTCTTTTCGGAAGCGTGGAAAAAGCAGCCGTTGTTCATTCAGTCATTTGCACCCACTTCTCTCTTTCGGGCATCCAACCTTACCGATTCACCTCTAATTCTGCTTCTTGATGATGTTACCGTTAACACTCAAGACACCAATCAGGTCCGATTTTTCTGGGCATTCCTGTTTATTTTCAAACTTTTCCGTGTATAGTTTTCTTACATCCGAAGCATATGGTCACCCGATAGCATCATTTTGATTCCCTGTCGCTCAGACTTACGCCGAAATTACGTCGGATGAGTACTTGAAGTTCATCAGCAAGTATGTTGTTGGCCTGGGGCCTTGGAAAGACACCATTGTTCCGCCTAATGAGAAGAATTACCTGGCTACACCAACCGATCTTATAAAAAGAGCTCATGCTCATAATCTGCAGGTTCTTACTCAGCCATTATGAAGCTGTGTTTTCTGTTTGCACAGGTTGGCTCTGTTGTCAGCTTCTGCACTTCTTGATCGAAAGTTTTAGTTCTGATGGTGAGCTATTTGATGCCGCTGCAGGTACATCCGTACACCTACCGCAATGAGAATAAGTTCTTACATTTTGACTTTCACCAAGATCCTTATCAGGAGTATAGATACTGGATTCACAATATGAGCGTTGATGGTATGTTCACTGATTTTACTGGAACGCTTCATCTCTATCAAGAATGGACATCTCCCCTTAGTGGTCTGTAACGCTTCAAAGTCCCAGATGTTGGTTTGATGGTATTCGTGTAGGCCTCTGATATCTCGGAATTCTGATTGTCGAAGTGAAAAGTGAAAATATTTTTCATGTGTATAATCATGCAATAAACATGCAATAATTCTTACGAGAGAACGGCTTCCTGATTTTTTTGCTTGAAGAATTAGTTCGCATGTTGGAAATACATTTACTTATTGTGATAAAAGAGCTCATTTAACTGTGTAGAGCGAATTAAAACCCAACATGGATAACCTGTGTTTGCACCACTTGTTTTGTATTTGATTTTCTCTTGATTTAGCAGACTTAGTCTTTGATATTCAATCTAAGGCAACTCATTTTCAACTCTAGTCTTTACAGGAGTCGAACTTTTTATGAATATCTGTCTATTGAAAGCTAATGCCTACTTGAGTTATTACGTTGCCTTTTAGAAAGTATACTTCTTCAAAACGCAGACAGTAATCATAGAAATGGCAAAAATTCCAACATACTTTTACTTCACATAGGCAACAAGCATATAACTCTTTGAACCAATCTGGTTTCTCCTTATTTGCATTTGCATCCAACTTGGCCAACAAATATGAGGAAAGATCAAATCCAACAGATGAAGTTTAAAAGTAAAGGTTCAGTAAATGACCTGACCTCTAAAATACTATACTTCAACATAATGTTGTGTTCTCAACAACAAACAAGATTGCTTAAATTGAACCAAAAAATAAAAAGCAAAATAAATGGTTGATCTCACAATGAAAACACTTGAAAAATATTGATGTAACAGAAAAAATCTATCTATAGAAAACATGAGTGACAACTAAAATGTTATATAACAAGTAACTCATGAACAATGATTTTTTCAGATATATCATTTGAACTAAAACAATACAGATGTATTGTTTTAAAGTACCACAAAACTGTTTTAAACAAATAAAATTCTAGTAGATATTTATGTGGTTTTTCATTATGAAAGATTTCATTTTAATCTAAATTCAATTTTATACAATATTATTACTGAGATTAAAAAGTATATCAAGGTTCATAACAAAAAAATGTCTTTTATACATCTTGAATTGTTGAAAGATTTGCATACATGTAAATGTAAATATATGTTCATACATTTATACATACATACATATATACACACATACATACACACATACATACATCTACATGTAAAAAATTAATTTTTCTATATAATAAAAGTACTTTTTATTTGCTTTTGGTTGATGTGTGTGTACTAAATATTTCTTTTGTCCTTTTCAGTTTTAAAGTATTTGTGCAATTTGTGTTATTATTGATTTTCTTAATATCCTTTTCATTCTTTGTTATGCTTAATCCATTCAGAGTTAAGTTGATTCTTTCTTTTGCATAATTCTACTCCATAATGCATTTTGACCAATTATTATTTTCTACATTTAGCATTTTTATTTTTATTTTATTTTGTTATACTTGTATTCCATACTGTATCAGCATGGACTATATGGACAATTGTACAATGGACTATGCCTATTGGAAAACATGTATTCATAATTAACTTGACTCTGAATGATACAATATGCAATGGCATTGGTAAAGGAATAATTTATTGTACCTTTACCTCATACATATCACTAATATAGTAAAAGATATTTATGCAGCTGACACATTCTCTCTCTCTCTACACACAAATATCTCACACATAAATTGTTGAGTTTGAACATTCTGCCATGGTACTTAGTGTTGTGTGAGCCACACACACAGTAACATTAAAAAAGGAAATATAAGAAAAAGTAGTAGCAATGACTGTCTGTATTTGACAAGATACACTAGTCATATACTACAACCTTAGTTGTTCCATCTCTACTACCCAAAAACATAAAAACATGAGACTGCATTCTAATGTAGTAAAATTAACATTTAATCCTTTTCTGGCAAACTTGTAATGGTCTGTGACATGTAAGCATCTAAGGGCACACCTTGAGACACGGAGACAATGACCATGGCACATCCGCAATGTGAGGCCTCTTGGAAACCATAGGTTGCAGGCTTTGACAAGAGAGAGTCACCACCCCACACTATTTCACAATTGCAAGGAAAAGAAAGGATTTGACCAAAAAAAGCACCAGAAAACCTTTCATATGCATGTCTAGTTGAAGCAATTGAATCAGGAAAAAAGGATGCTGCTAGTCATATTTGCATGCAGATCTGATAGTTAGCAATTAGAATAGATGTTGCTCATATCATCACCGAACAAATAGCCATGGTGCTTACAAGTAGGTACTCACCTACAAGTAGGTTGTTTTTTGTTTTTGTTTTTGTTTTGTTTGTGTTGTTTACTTTTTTGCTCTACTTAGAAATGTGCAATTATATATTGTGGTGAAATTTCTACATGTTCATTTATTGTTTGGACACGAAATCCCTTTCATCAAATTTTATTACATATTTTATGTAAGTATAACAACTTAGTATAATCTTTTATAAATCATTAAAGAGACTTGGCTTTTCATCCAACATTCTTCAAATTTCACAATTTTATTTCACAAAAAACATGAATGTTTTGAATCTTTAGAATATCTTTGGTAAGAGAAATCAAATAGATTTCTAATTGGAGGGCCAAATAGGACCAAAATTGTTTGTGAGGATATGATCTACAGACATCCATTATTTTTTTGATAGCAATTCCAATCAATAAAATTCATTAGTATAGCATCATAATATGGTAATGATGACGACTGGTTGAGAACCATGATGCCTCAAATCCATATCATACTATTTCATTACAATGATTTAGAAGATAACAACATCAAGATATTATGTTTTTATATTTATTTATATGGACATGATCATATAGAGTGTATTTAACTGCTAGAGATGCATTGCTTCTTTTCTAAGTATTACAAATTTGGAAGAACATAGAATGTTGTTGTAATATGTGTTGTCTTTTTTGGGAATGCAATAGGCATGTGGCTATGGAAGGCAAAGTTATATTTTATAAATATCCAAGAAATCCTAATAGGTTTCATTTAATATGAAAAATGTAATTTGAATTTTAATTCAAAAGTGCTTAAAGCTAGTGTAAAGTGTTCAAAAACACTCTTCTTAATAACTTTAACTATGCATAAATCTCAATGCCATAATACTTTTATAATTAGGTAATTTTGATTTCTCTTTGTAAGTTCTAATTCTAGTTAGTGAGCTTTGGTGAGCTATAAATTATAATCTAGTTATTTACTTGGTACAAAATTTTGCATACAAATGTCAATATAAGTCTTCTATGTGCTTAAAAAAATTCAATCCAATTCAACTTATAAATTGTGAAAATAAAGCCCAAAAATTGCACTAATGTCACTTAGCTACCAACTTGAAAGTTAATGCAAATATTCCAATAGTAATTTCTCCTTTTCTAATTGTTAAGTTCAACTCAAAATTAGTATATAGCTTGATCTTGAAGTCTTTTAATGTTATACCAAATTTCACTTTGGTCCAATTTATAGATCTTCAGATATCATAGAAATCCTACCCAGCTCCAAATTGCCAACTTCTAATACCTTCTTATACCAAAACCTGGATATCTCTCAATTTCACTATTAGATTAACACAAAATTTTATACATACTTAGCACACCTAATCAGCTAAGCACTATTAAATTTTAAATCATAGATGTGAAACCAATTGTATGAACTAATCAAGAGTGATAGGCCTAATTGTATTGCATAAATCCCAAATCATCAATACAAATCCTTATTTTGAACAACAATTGCAAAATCATTTCAAATCCTAAAAAAACAAACTTTACACTTTTAAAATGAGCTTGAAGCTAGCTCACAAATCCCTATTGCTGATCTTTAAATGCTTCCTTACTTTGTCCTAGATAGCCATTTAAGTAGCTAGAGGTGTGATTTTGATCATGTCTCACAAATAGTCGATTCCTAGGTATTATTCCAACCTATCCTAGGAATTTTTTAGCTCAATGCCACCTTCAACTTAATCTTAGTATCAACTATATTAATTATTTATCTCTTCTATCTTATTTTTTTTAATCAATTTATAATCTTTTTAAGGTAATAAAAATAATTTTATAATCTAGAAGGTAAAATTATTAATCAACTTTTAATCTATTAGCTATTAAGATAGAAAAATGAACTAAGAGGCTTTTATAAAAGCCATGTTTAAATATCTTGGACTATTATTGAATCAAGATAAGTAAATATTAATGAAAATTTTATTTTTGATTATATTTTTATTATATAGTTGTGTTACAATATGACAACATGACACGCCTTAAGTTGAAATAGTTAGGTTAGAGTTTTTGAGAGTAAGACTTGCTTGTAGCAAATAATTTGATAAGTCTATTTTCTGGTGGGCATATTCAAGTAATGAAGTTTTTGTTATAAAAATAGAATATATTATGAAAACATGATGGATATCATGCATTGCAAATAAAATGTGCCAAAAGCCAAGAAAAGGATATTTTTGATGACTTTGTTAAAACCTAGATAAGTCATAATTTTTCATATATAAAATATGGAATATTCAACACTCATTTTTTAGAAGTAAGATTTAATTATTTACTAAAATAAGACCTAATATATCCTAAAAGATAAAAACTTATCTTTAAAAAGAGGTTTTGTAAAGATTTCTAACCCCGTCTCCTTTGTGGAACAATACTCCAAACCAATTTTTTCTATCTCCACACGTTGCCGAATAAAATGATTTTTTATATCCCGATGCTTTACATGAGTATGATGTCCTAGATTCTTAGCAATAACAATGGTATTGTAGTTATCATTATAAATAAAAATCCTTCCTTGCTCAAGAAGATCTTAATTTCTAAGTACTTTATAGAGCTACAAAGTTTCTTTTATTAAAGCAGCCAAAGCTATATACTCTATCTTTGTTGAAAAATAGAAACTAAAGATTTTTTTTTGTTTGACCAAGTGATAATTTATCTACTCAATATAAATACATAATCTCCTACTCAATGATACATCTCTACACAACTTGCTCTATTTGTATCAATATAGTCTATAAATAATAAATTTACTTTCTTTTCTCTATACTGTAATATCAAATACCTTATTCTTTACAAGTAACAAAATATTCATTTGATTCTTTTCAATGCAAAACATAAAGATATGCTATGTATTGAGCATAGTGTT